AGCCAAAAGGGAGAACAGAAGCATCCAATAACAAAAAACAAAAAGAAAAACACACCCAAATTACTACTGGCTCCTTTGGAGAGAACCGCACAGGCACAAAATACTGCTCCCAAGGTAATGGCACTCAAAAGGTATTTTAAAATCACATTTGACTTTCAAGTCCATACTCATTCACTCTCCCAAGCTTTTTTGTTTATACAATGGTATGCCTTTTTAAAAAAACAAAACAAAAAACACCTATCATCCACCAGAAATTCAGCTGTGTGTGGAGAGTCTGAAGAGAAATTATCCCTGAGCAGAAAAGATTCACCCTGTAAATTTGTGGACTTCTGGAAAGAGCTGTAAGCCAAAAGGGGCAACAGAAGCATCCATTAACAAAAAACAAAAAGAAAAACACACCCAAATTACTACTGGCTCCTTTGGAGAGAACCGCACAGGCACAAAATACTGCTCCCAAGGTAATGGCACTCAAAAGGTATTTTAAAATCACATTTGACTTTCAAGTCCATACTCATTCACTCCCCAAAGCATTTTTGTTTATACAATGGTATGCCTTTTAAAAAAACAAAGCAAAACAAAAAACACCTATCATCCACCAGAAATTCAGCTAGGAACACAATTGAGTCAAGCATGGTTGTTGTGGGTTTTTTTTGGGGGGGGGGGTCTCCACACCCCGAAGGGCACTTTGTTTGCAGAGAGCATCCGGCGCTAGCAGAGGCTCCTGATGGAGGAAAGTGGGTGGGTGGGGCCGGCGGCCAAGGGGCTGCTGTTCCCACTCTGCCTTCCTGCCCCCAAACCTCTCCTGCTGTCCCAAGTATCTCATGCTTCTTTGGACGAGGTTTTCAGCAAGGCTGGGAACAGAAGGCCGGAGGGATGGCATAGTAAAACTCACCCCCTTCAGCCTATGAGAATTATCATCTGTTGAGCCTCCTGCTAGGCTTAACAAGAACCCCACCTCAATGGGTGTTTCAAAATGGATGGCTTTTTCTCTCTCTTTAAAGCCCCTTAGTTAATACAGTGTGCAAAGTCAGTATGCAGTTATCCTAAAGCTAAAGTTCAAGAAACAACCTGGCACGAAGAAGGAAAAGACATTTTTCAACATCTTTTTGTTTTCTAAAAACCCCGGTTTACAGAAGATTCTTGCGTTTGCCAAGTGGCTGCAACCATTTCTAGCAATACTCTCTGACTCAGACGCCCGGAATAGGCAGGAGCCCGATTACAGAGCAGTCTGAAAGTGTCATAACTTTCATACTCGCTCTACCAGAAAAAAAGGTTAAGTGAATCACACATTTGCTCAAGTGGTGAAAAAAGCAGGGTGGGAGGAGCCGTTGTCCGAGCCTGCAAAAGGAGGGGGGGATTGCTATACTGTTTAGTATAAAAGCCTGAACTGTATTTTTCTGAGGCAACTATTTATAAAAACTTTTTCTGTTGTTATTTTACTGGCTGGGGGCAAGCATGGATTCTCTTTGGCATAAATCTCTGTAAAATTCTTATAATACATATCTAGCAATTCATTGGTTGCATAAGGTACTACACTCAGTGTAATTACGAGCATCCGATCCATTCCAACAGGAATCAAGTCACACTGGCAGAAGCAATCTGCTTCTTTAACTAGCCCATCCCTGCTCGATCCGCCACTTTACTTGACATTAAGTACAGAGTTATCCTCTGCTGTAGATCTGCTATTTCAGCATCCACCGCACAATTAACTGAAGTTCTGGACAACCACATTTTAGTCCCGTTCCGTAAGCGTCGCATCCGCTGTTGGCTTCGTTGCATCCAACCATACACGGCCACTTCATTGTCCACGCCGACATCCTGCCTGGTCTCTGGAAATAACTAAAGGAACGTAACCTTGGGAAGACGTTGGTTAGTCTGCTACAGCAGGAGGGACCTCTGGCAGAAGTGATGCAAAGAAAGTCTTAAAGAACAAGCAGGCCGTGCTCATAAACGAAGGTGCCGCTGGCTGACTCTCTGGTGCAGAATCAGGCACTTCCATTTCTTCCTGACCACCCACGTCGTCTTCCTGCAAGCCCAAGGGGGTGGGGGGTGGGGGGAGAATAAAGAATCACTCCAACATGCTTTGCTGATAAGTGTTCACTATTGGTATTCTTTTGCTTAGCTGAAGGCGGGTAATTCTTAGTTATTCTTCCTTGATGGCTTTACAGATTGCAAGTATCACCCACTGTAGGCTTACTGTGCCAAGAACTGAAACCAGGTGGCTATACAAGGCACGAGAAAGGACAGGGCTTCACACACAAGCCTCGTCAGAAGCTCGGAGCAAAATGGCTGATTTTCAAGCAAGTCTTAAAGCACTAAGGATTTGCAACAATTAATAAAATGGGGATTAAAACTTATTTTTTTAAAAAAA